TCGTATACACGTTACACATGGGGAAAACCAGAATACTCAATTAAGCTATATATATATATATATATACCATCCAACAATGTGTTTTACTTTTATTACAAATTTCTCATCTTAAAACAAAATGTGTGCGTGTGACTATGGCAAAGCCTCGAGGGCTATCTCGCCTAAGCGTACGGATGCCTTCGTGGAGGACTTTCTAAGGGAAACTGGCTCGTATACACGTTACACATGGAGAAAACCACGAAAACGCCCATGCAGTTGGCCCGTTCGCGGGATTCGAACCTCGGACCGAACTACCAGTGTTCAGCGACTTTACCGCTCGGCCGCTGGTGGGCTATCTTAAAACAAAAACAAGCGGACAGATAGTGTGACGTTTTAGACTTGAAAATAGCCCCTATCACGGCATGAAACGAATAAAAAGCATATGCAAAAGTGTAAAAGTGTATGACCTATTACCATTTTATTTATATTTATTTGGGTTATATGTTTATCATACCAATCTTGCTTTACGAAACACTTGAAACAGTTGAAATTATTCTTTCGACAATGACTCGCCGGTCGATAATTTTTCCGATCATAATACCACTGCTGCTCTTTGTCAACTGTACAATTTTTGTCAAGGTCTGTTTTTAGTTCATACACTTTTAAAGTTTTGCATATGCTTTATATTCGTTTCATGCCGTGATAGGGGTATATTTCAAGTCTAAAACATCTGACTATATGTCCGCTTGTTTTGTTTTTAAATGAGAAATTCGTAACAAAAGTAAAACACATCGTTGGATGGTATATACATATAGATTAATTAAGTATTCTTCTGTGAGTTTGTATGACCTACTGATTTACGCTAACGCTCGATATGCAGTTTTTATTTTAGTTTACTAGCGAATAGGCTTTTGGAAAATACAGTGCTATTTATTAACAGTGTCACTTCTGTTATTTCATGACAGACAATTAAAATTAAAAATTGTTATTAAAAATATTTTATTAATAATATTTTATTATTAAAATTGTTATTAAAGAATATTTTAACTTTATTATATCGAGCGCCTAGACATCGCACCCCTACTAGAACCGCCTTATTGTTTTACAAAAAAAAAATATTTTAATTGTAGTGAAGTTAAAATAACTAAATAATTCAGAAGTTAAGTCATTTTTTTAAATCTCAGCCATTGCAAAATTACGAAAAAGGAGAATCAGGATGCAAAGCGTAGGATATTTATTCATATTAAGAAAGAAACATTTGCTAAACACATAATAAAATTGATTGACATGACGGATGGTTTTCATGGAGTGGCACTGCTATGTGAATTCTGTATTAAATGGCCGAAAATCTTAACACACCTCGTTCAGAGAACAGTGTCTGATTTCTTTTCGTTTTTTTTTTTTAAGGGGGGGAGGTAAATTTGGCAAATGGAAACAAAAGATGGCATCGCTAAATGCCTTCTTTAAAACTGAATAACATGATTTTTAATTGCAAAATATTCCGGTTTATAACGCGCACCCATTTAATTACGAAGAAACTTGAAAGATATACGTGTGATGCTATTATCTTCTGAAGTCGTTCACTCGAAGATTTTTCGTAGGCTATCTAACAATGGTATACTGAACTGACAAGCGATAGGGTGAACAATATGTATATGGAGGAAATGTTTGAGGGAGAAAATGTGCAAAAACAGTTGGTTGTATTCAATGCAGATGCACACAAGAATGTTATTCTAGAGTGTCGAGAAAAGGACATAATTTGGGATACGAATTTACTTCTGACCCGAATGAATTCGCGGAATTAAGAGTCAGACGTTTTCTCTTTCTGTAGTGATTTTGAAGCGAACATCGAAAGCTTTTGTAAATCGCATTTGCTTTAGCTGAAATACAGTTGATCTAGTATTCCTTTTACTAGTAAATATGGCTCCTGCCAAACGAAACAAACATAGTGCTGCTTTAAATGCAAAAACATTCAATTTGCGAAAAAAATGGAAATTGTGCTGCAGCAAGGATGTTTGGTATTGGTGAAAGGTGGAAGGAAAATGATATCACAATAATAAATATGCCAAAGAATGAATGCGATTTGCGTAAAGGACTAATGAAATGGCCTATCTTAGAAGAAAGTGTTGCGAACTGGGTCTTAGAAAATTACCAGTAACAGCATTTAGGTATGTATAGAAATCATATTTTTTATGCTCACCTTTTCCTTATTTTTAAGTCTATAATTTTTATATCCGGCGTATAATGCACAGCCGTAAATTTCGATCTCATTTTTTGTATTAAAAGTGAGCGTTATACGCCAGAATATACGCTAACTAATTTAAGATTCCTTATTTTAAGTATTCCTTACCATATTCCTTCAGTTTCTCTTTTGCCGCACGTCTGCCATTACCTATCCAAAATAATTGCTATTTCTCTTCTCTATAAGTAAAGAAAGAAATAGAAAGAGAAAAGCAACATATATGAATAATGAATAAAAATTCCTTATATTACATTGCTTTAATTAAAATCCCCCCCCTTTTTTTTTTGCCTCCTTTTCTGTACTTTTGCCTTCTCCGTTCTAGCCTCCGTTAAAAGGCAACATAACCACATTGAAAGAAAAGCTGAACTCAAAGACTGACGATTTTCGCATTATATTTTAAATAGTACATTTATGTATTGTGTACATAGAATGTAGCTTGTGAATTTGCTTTCAATAACCAGAGCTTTTACTAGATTGCTCGGTTAGAGAGGATTCTGTGGAAAAAATGGTAAGAAAAAAAAATGCGATGTAATAATGCAGCTTCATTGTTGAATTAAACAATGACTACAATGGAAGCATTATATATAATAACAATTCCTTTGCTCTTTAAAGATTTTTCTTAGCAAGTAAGGAAGTAAATTTGCTTTAAGCTTCTTTTTTACCCCTTTCCTTTTTTCCTTTTCTTTTCCTTTTTCTTTTCTCTCCTTTTTTTTCCCTTTCTTTGCCCTTTTTCTTTTCTATGTCTACTTATTAAATTGCCCCTCATACAAACTGACGGTCTAATTGATTTTAATAGTCTGTTCTCTAATGAACGAAATACAAATAAAGTTCGCAATAACTATTTATCTTAGTGAAATGTGAAAATTAAGTGGTTAGTTAACTAAACAAAGGAAATTAAACCATCGCTTTTGGAAATTTTAGCAGTCACTGAACAATGTCTGAAAAATGTTTACAAAGAAACAAATGGGTTCAAAATGCTGTCTTCAGTTGCCCAATTCTAGACAGCATTTTATACTTCAGCCATTTTTATAATAGCAAAGTAGAACCTGCTTCAAAAATTTAACACTGTCACTGGCCAATTACATCTGTAGAGACATTGGGTTATTTTGAAATAGGAGAGAGATAAATGTGCAATGTCCTCGCCGGGACTCAACCACAGACCTCTCGAATACGCGCTGAGTACGCTGACCACTACACCACGAAGGCATGGTAAGAAGGCAGGTATACATTAAAAGAAATTTTCGCCTTCCTTCGTTGTGCAAGCGGTAAAACACCCACATAGCAATCGGAAGATCTGAATTTCGAATCCTGGCGAGGATATAGTTTATTTAACGCCATCTCTCTCCGAAAATAGATAAAGACTGCACAGCATGAATCAGAATTCTCAATCCAGATCTAGAAATATCAAAAACTGTGCTTATTTTCGGCTATTTGAGAAAATAAATAATGATATTTTAGTGTGTTATGTTACAAATGAGTTTACTGAACCATGAGTTTTAAATTTGTAGTATTGCCAAGTTTGGTAATACAGTGGAACCCCGAGATACGAGTTTAATTCGTTCCAACATTGAGCTCGTATAGCTAATTCCTCGTATCTAGAAACAAACTTCGCCATTGAAAAAATGGAAATCCAGTTCATCCGTTCCGTACCCCCAAAAATATCAAAATAAAAATCCATTTTTCTAATAAATATTATAACACTGGTAAATAATATAACCATAGTTTACCTTTATGATAGTTTCCGATAAATGATAGCTTCCAACACCGACCTTTTAACTACTTCTCGTTAATCCACACCAATAACAGCTTCTCAACATATTCTAGGGGTTTTGGACGTTGCTTGGAAGTAACGGTAACTCGTTTGACTATATCAAGTTTCTTAATTACTTCCTGCTTCTTCAAAATAGCGCAAATCGTCTATGTCGAAAGGCCGTAAGTTTTCGCCAATTCCGTCACTCTTAAACCACGTTCTTTATCTAAGATTCCTTTCTTAATTTCAACGGCCATGGCTTCCTTATTTTTCTTTGTAGCACTACTGAGGCAACAATCTTCCTGAGAGGCATCGTGAAATAATTATTTTCACGTTAAAGGTAATAAACAATTGACTTAAGCTCACAAACACGTAGATTAAAGAAAACCGACTGATCTGACGAGGGGATTCCCCGAGTCGAGCCGGATCGGGAAATGGCGCCACGCACACCAACAGTCTGGCTCATTGCCCGTTACTCGAGTCAATGCTTGTATTTAGAGACAAATGTTTCGCTCATACTTTCCTCGTATCTCGAGTTTCTCGTATATAGAGGTGCTCGTATCTTGAGGTTCCACTGTACTCCAGATTTTATTACTTTGTACTTTAAGAAATATAATAATGAAATAATAAATTTATGGGAAAATGACTATGTGGTAATTTGTCTTACATAACAAAGGCTTAAGGAAACTATTGAAATGAAGAATGTTAATCAGTAAATTTAGAGTTACATAATTCACATCCCTCGATCTTGATATAGAAAACGAATTTTGAACAGTAGGCTTTTAATATATTAATACAACATTAAACTGATGTTATTATCCTCCCACAAGCAGAACCGGTACTAGAGATGGTGGAGCCAAACCGCTGGAGAAATTAGACTCAGAATTTTTTTTAAATAATTAATTTTTTTTATTATTATTAAGGTGGTACCGTATGGCAGAATTTAGAGAGGGCGGCGAAAAGCCTCGCGCCGGCTCTGCTTGTTAAGTAAAAGTATTTTCAAATTCATTGATTGACACATATGCAAAATCATTTTCATATTAAGTTGTATTTCCATGTTTAGCATTTACAGATAACAAAGAAGTCCTACGAGTAAAATACTTCAAACACAGATGACTTTGAATTGCATTTATGTTGATCAGAAAATACACATATGCAATATAGAAAAAACTCTTCTTAACATTTATTAAACTGTCATTTCTAAATCAGGCATATCTTACTGAAGATATTACTTCAACGGGAAGTTCACTAGTTACAGTTGGTTACATTCACATATTTCTCTCTAAACAAGGTAAGGTTACATGATCAAATAAAGTATTTACAGTAAAAATCTTTGAAGTCATTCAAAAAATAAAATAAAATCATTTGATAATAAAACGCACTTCACACTACCTAAGGCTATGCGCATTAATCTACTATTAAGCTTTGCGCCTACAACTGGCCAGACGTATGAAATATGATAATGAAGCATGATATGAAATCGGTTCTTCACCCAGGAATTTCGAAACACATTAAAGCACAATTTATCGTAATAAATTTACGGGAAAAAAGTTACTGAAAGTAATACGTTCAAAATTCAACTATTTTTTTAAAAGTAACTTCACGCTAAGGATTCACAAATTTTTCTTAGTAGAATTCTAACCATATTACCAAAAAGTTTCAAATTCTTATTGCTGTTTAAGCTGCATGATTTCACTGTCTTCGAGTACCTACAGTTCTAAATTAATTGAGTTTAGAAATTATCATGCCTTGAAACTCGCATCTTAGTAAGAAATTATCATAACCTGAAGCACGAGTCATGAACAATTTTCTCTGGTAATTTCGCTTACAAGATGTGGAACAACATGCTGTGAGCAAATCCTTTATTCAACTGAGAAGGTAGTTTAATCAGAAGCAAAAATGTGGAAGATGGTAATTTCATTTCTGAAACTTTCATATTTGCAAACTGCAGCAAATTATTTTTACTGTAAATCATAAATGAATCTGTACAATCTAAAATTATGAAACAGAAGATAAATTATCATAACTCCATGAAATACGATGAGAATTAAGATATCATCAGGTCAAATTTATTTGTATGAAAGTATTAATGAAACACACTACTTTTAAACATTCACTGCAGAGTTCCATTGCATTTTATTAAAATCTGCTATTCTTATTTTTAAAAACGATGTCTATTCATAAGATAAGAATAGCAAAGTAAACGAAATATTTACTATCCCATCTGATAGGAAAGGGAAGATATTTTCTGCTTTCACACATTTATAGCGACAGATCTTTCCTGAATTAAACATGGCAACATATACTGATGTAAACCAAAACGACCTTCAGGAAAAAGAAGAAGTAACATAATATTATTCCTTTGAAATTAATAGAATGAAATTAATAGAAATTTGGACTGGAGTCATAATTTTAAATATTTTACCATTATTTTCATAACATATGAATGACTGTATTCCAGTAATCGATTTTGAACATTTTTAGGAGCATGCATTTGAAGTTTACACAGCATGTACGCTTAAAATGTATTTCCAAGAATACGTGTTCAAGGCTGAAATACTTCTATTAGAAGTACGTACAAATACGAGATGTTTTCCAGTTGTTATAAAACTGATGCACATTAATTGACCACAAAACGTTTTCGGATTCAAAAACGAAACATTCAGTTGTAATAAAAGACCACTGTTTTATATACACTTCAAGTCATTAATTTTTGGATAATTAAAATGTTAAAAAATTTACTCTTCATTGTTGTAAGAGTAATATTTTTGTCTCGGACTAATTCACATTTCGTTCTTAATAGCAACGACATTTACAGTATAAATAGGTTTTTCTGAAGACAAAAAGGAGTTATATATATTATTTTAATTGACTGTAATCACAGCTTCCACGCAAGGCGAACCATAAGATCAAAATATGCATCTTCATCTATACTAGCACTGACGCCTGTGTAGTAATCAATGAATTCTTCTTTCGTTACCTGTAAGAAAAGAAAAACATTACTAACTGCGCTTTTAAAATAAGTGGAAAACTAAATTTTTAGCATAAATAAAACAAGGTATTAACTGAATTTAAATTATCACACAAAACACACTTTCGAACGGTTGCTTTAACATAACCCTGACATGCATTTCATTTGCAATGTAAGTGCAGTACTGGATAACAATTTAACTATGTAAACAAAAAAGGGTTGCAGATGAGAAAGGCAAATAATAATAATAATAATAATAATTAATAATTGCTATAAGTACAAATAAACTTAGCAAAAAAGTAGCTGAAATATTCAGAACGCGTAAATATATCTAAAAGATATTACAGTAAATTGCGTAAAATAAACTGGGCATAAAAAATGAATGCGAAAGTCACCTCACCACAACTTTAACAAAAACTGTTATTAACACATTTACAAGGCATCTTGCTTGAACGCTATCTTACAACTGACTAAAGAAGTACTATACAACTCTTTGTGCCGACTGCGTCGTCCTTCGAGGGTAAACATCGGAAGGATGCGTTCATATACCGGAGATATTTGATTAGTGTGCGGATATTGCTAGTCCATATATCTTTGAAACATGAAATAATGAACAATTTTAACAATTATTTTCGTCTTCAGCAGATTAAAGTTAACAGGTATTAGTTGTTTTCATCTCTGATACGTTTTCCTGCTGTTCACCAGTACTATTAGCTGAGAGATAAAGGTTTTCCTTCTTCTCCGCTATCGCATCATGTCTAGACTTAATTACGTCATATCTCTTTAATGCATTATATATTTTATTAGTTACCTTAAGTGGCTCTAAATATAACTTTACAAATTGAGTATGCAAGAATACTCATATAATTAAATGTTAGAATAACTGCAGATATTAGACGCGGTATTGAGTACACAAGATGTTGGAATCGTTGCGTGAGAGGATATATTACACCGATCACGTTTGACGGCTTTTCACAATGCTGCTCTATATTTTATATATCTTTGCAAAGCAGTTAGTAAGATATGCATAGTACTTCATCAATGTGTACTAGAGTTTAAATCAAAAGAATACATTGGCCTGCAGAAGATGTAGAAATCAATAGCATTTTCACGGATCTGTGCCACCGCATTTCAACCTGTCAGAGGTTGCATTATAAGGTATGTCTACCACTTCTTTAGCGTGCCTTCGTGGTATAACGGCAGCACGCTGGGCCGGTATTCCAGAGGTCCGTGGTTCGATTCCCGGCGAAGGCGGTTGCTAATTTTTCATCTCTCTGGCTTCCAAAAAATCCTAATGTCTCTTACAAGTGGCGCCTGAACTAAAAGGGTTGTGGATGATGATTCTCCGTAACCAGGATTTGGCGACTAGGTCCCCTAAAACCCTAGTCGCCCTTTAAAAAGGGGAGTATATAAGGTATTTCTCCCACTTCCTTAGCCTGCCTTTGTGGTGTAACGGTAGCACGCTGGGCCGGTATTCCAGAGGTCAGTGATTCGATTCGCGACGAAGGCGGTTGCATATTTTTCACCTTTTTTGCTTCCAATTGACCTAATGACTCTACAAATGGCGCCCGAACTAAAAAAAAAAAAAAAAAAGGGGTTGTGGATGATGATTCTCCGCACCCAGGATTTGGCGACTAGGTCCCCTAAAACCCTAGTCGCCCTTTAAAAAGGGTAGTATATAAGGTATTTCTCCCACTTCCCTAGCGTGCCTTCGTGGTGTAACGGTAGCACGCTGGGCCGGTATTCCAGAGGTCCGTGGTTCGATTCCCGGCGAAGGCGGTTGCTAATTTTTCATCTCTCTGGCTTCCAAAAAATCCTAATGTCTCTACAGCATTATCCTGCTAATACAAATCATAACAATTGTTTAAGATCATTCATAAAAAATTGTATATGGACTTCCGTTACTACTATGTATGTCGCTTATATCAGAAAAGCTTACATTTATACTAATTACCCATGCACGTTCCGAAAGCAAATACCCAAACCATGAGGAAAAAAAAGCATTACTAGCTTTCAAAACATCTTGTTCACGTGATTTATGTAAAGCATCATATGGTCTCCTCGGCACACGAATAAATGTCATTAAAGGATGAAAAAATCTATTCATCCGATCAGGTCACACAACGTGAGTGATTTAAACTATGTTTTGTGTTTCATGTGAGAAGCAATACCTGATGCCCTGACATCAACAGTCATACCTGCCGAAGACTATAAAACTTTATGAAATGGAATTTTCAATGCATGGTGCATTCAGTGATGGTTTGAGAATCAGCAGCATTAAATGGGATGTCTTTTAAGAAATCAATCCCTATCAGTCCATCTATCAAGCTCTTGCAATAATTTGGCTCCTCAGTTTAATTCACGTAGTAACACAGCTTTAGGCCACAACTTCGCAATGAACTTGATAAAAGTTAATATGGAAGATTATATTAATGAACACGGGTTAACTTTATCAGTGAAAATAAATTAATTTTATTAAACACGACAGTTGTCATAAATGTTATATCTAGTTTCTTTAGAAAGGGAATTAATCAATGATAAATATTATTCGCTGACTTGGAAGTAAAACTTATTTATGGCATCAAGATCATTTGATATTAATATTTGCGATTCTCAATATATCAGATCAGTCATAGTTTAATGAATAGCACATCGTTTGAATGTCACTAATTAAAAAAAAAAAACTTGCGAAAGTTCTTTGTTATATTTTGCATCTTCAGATACAATAAATAAATAAAAAAATATAAAACCTATATTACTATTGTTTGAAAAGAATAATCATGTTGCCGTTATTTAGTATTCTGCTTTGAAAACATAAGTGAGGAAATTGAATTTAATATCTTGCATGTTTAATGAACTACATTAATTAATATTCTTACTGTTCCGTCTGGATTACCACCAACTTCGAAATTTGCAAGAAATCTCAAGAATAGTTCTTTTTCACTCAGCTGGCCATTTTGGTACAATGGATGATAGGTAACATTGTAAACATCCTTTAAGTCATGGTAGGTAACTATCCCATCTCCTGTTCTGTCCAGTTTTTGAAAAGCCTTTTCTACTACTTTCAGTCGAGCTGCTGACATCTTTGGCTGAAAAAAATGGTGTATTTCGTTAAACTTAACAGTTTCATTCTAATAATATTTACAGTTCCAAAAATGAAGATATCAGCTGGTACGTGCTAAAGCTGAAGTAGAAACTAAGGAATGACGAATGGTTTTGAAAGCGCAGTGGAAAACCGCTTTAGAGGGAAAGTTTCTGCTTCAATTTCAGTCAAAGCGCATCTTAAAAAACTTTTTTTCACTATACAGCAAATGTTTTGGGTATAGTAACATTTTCATCCTTACATGATTAAAAAAATGGTAGAAGCTTTTATTAATTTCTAAGCAAATATTTTCAAGTGAAATTTTTCTCCCTTTTGCATCAATGAAAATACAAGTATATATGATATAAACACTTATTTAGAGAATAATTCAAATTTATCAACAAGATGATTATAAAATATTTGGCGCTAGATTGAAAACTTTTATTTAAAGATAAGTTTATTTACTGCTTTGATACAGGTTAAACCTAAATTTGAGCAAATAATTTTAGGCTTTAGAGGATGCTGAGAATGAGTTTTCGGCCTAAAGGAGGGGAATTGCCCAAGCAATGACACAAAGGCTTAATCTTGTGCCAGACAGATCATTTCTAAAGTGAAATACCAAAATATTAGGATTGTTTGACTAATAACCTGTAGCTCCTTCATGTACCAGAATAACTGCGTTTAATGGAAGATGCATTGGATCAAGAGGTGCTAGAGTCGAAATATGGGCACTTTCAGGCAAACTCTATGGATTCCTCTAGTTCAGCCTTATTTGTTGCGTGTTATTGCAAAGCATTTAATCTGATCTTCATGGTCTTTCATAAGTGCTCAGCATTTAGTGAGCAGGATGCCCAGTGAAGTACTTGGAGTCAAGCTGTCAATTCTACGTTTGCAAATCCAAAAGTTGCATTATCCTACTGGCAAGAACCGCCAATAGCAGGAAACATGACGTTCACAAAGACCTGCTTGCGGCCTGCAGTGATATATGTTCTGTCAACGGAAGAGGATTTCATTTGTACTAGTGGTCCCTGTATACATCTTCAGAACATATCCCACACCATGACAAGGTTTTCCTTGTATACATCCTCAGAACATATCTCACACCATGAAAAATTTGCCTAAGGAAGGAAATGTAATGGAAATTGCCGGTAATACAATGGTATACGTAAGGCATCCAGTACACTACCGGACTCATTTAATTTCTGGACAACTATGAGGGTACCTATAGCATGTTTTGATGAAGTCCTCTGAAATTCTCTGTACTAATACATTTTCTCATTCAGCAGGGAGTATCCAGAACCGTTCAATTTCGTTGGCTGCTCCCTAAACCACTGAAGAATTGCTTGAAACATTTTTTCATACCTGTGAAATGTTTTCCTTCGAAATTCTCTTTCAGAGGGCCAGGAAGGTAAAAGTCCCTCCAGGCCATGCAAGAGGACAGGTGTGACAATACCTGTCACTGCAAGTGATCAATGACTGCCACAGTTTTGGTGGCCACAGTGAGCCATGCAGACTGACATCTTTACCTGGACGATCCCGCATGTTTCTTGTAAGTTTCTTGACCTTCCGAGCTACATCGAAAGCAGCGTAAAGTAATTCTCAAGCAGTTATTAGCCAATTGTTCAAAACCACCCACTTGATTCTGGGTGTGGATGCACTTGATGATACTTTTTGGTCTGCCTTCACGGGGGAAGGACCTCAATTGATTTAAGACCTTTACAAAATATTTACAGTCTTGAAACATCGATGAGCATATTATTCTATACATGACGATAGGTGATTAATTTGGGTAGATTTCCTTTTGCCAGAAATATCATGATTACAAGCTGGGGCTGCACCGGAGTATCTAGTATCACGTTATTACGAATAACACAACTTGAAAAGACAGCTGATATTTTTTAATTCCGTTACTATACATTAGAAATATACATCATACTTCCTCTCATACTTTCCCCCAGCTTAAGCTAGCTCCTAACGCACTAGCTCAAGTTGTATTATTCATAATAACGTGGTACTAGATAACTCCGTGAAAATTTTTAAAATACTCGCACAATTTTCGCTTTCCTCAGTGCGTTCCGAGAACGAGCTCTCATAAATTTTAAAATGGTTTCGCCCGCGTAGTGATTGTTTTTATCTTACTAATAAAACTAAACCTTCGCAAATTACCTGCGAAGGTCACGCCGAATCTTTCCTTTCTTACTGCCGAACTTTAGGTCAGCTTATAACAGGAACCGACCAGTCACAGCGAAGCAAACACGAATAGACATTCAGCTTAAGATTTCGCTGAGACAGCTACACATTCACTTTTTCTAACTATTTATGGATGACCTGAAGCCTAAAAAGTAGTAGAAACAATAAAAAGAACAACAGCGATTCAAGTAACAGGGAAGCAGAAATGAGCATACCTTATTAGTTATTGTTTTGCCAATATTACTATGATGTTCTTACTTTAACTGCGTCCTTCGGAAATTAAATTATTCACATAATTTTCCCTCTAGATTTTCGGACTATAAAATTAGAAAAAATAGGAGGGGAAATGCACTAGAAAATTTGGTAGTTCATTTTGAAATAGTTATTAAGTTCAATAAGGTTTATTTTAGGGTTTTTGAAGCGAAATGGGGATACTTACTGGGCATCCCTTACAATTTATCCTTAAAGTCTATTTTTATTGTTTATTTGTTTCATTTTAAAACCAGCTTTCGTAGCACCTTGTTAACAAGATGGATCCGTAGACTTTGCATTCTTCTCTACACATGAGTACATCCATCACGAAAGGACTGAAAATGAGTGTCATCCAACCGGCCCAGCATGGTTGTCGTCATCCTGTTTCACTGAATATATCCTCAACTTCAGATTACGGGACTGGTTGACTCAGGTTTGCAGTCAAGCGCCATCTTTCACAAAGATTGCTACTAATATCAAACCGTCATTGTGAATGGTGTTGAAGTGGCATTAAAAATACTTGAGGTGAAGAATAGTTTTTGCTATGGATTTCAGTTTTCATTTCAATTCTATCTCGGCAAAGGTGATCACTGAATGAGTATCTTAAAACTAGGTAGAAACTGCAATGGTCCTTAACGCATTACCAAGTGTAATGCGTTAAGGACCACTGCAGTTGCTACATTAATGAGTATAACGACAGCATACCGCTATGTTGCTGAGTTTCTACCTTCCGAGGGAACCAAATGGTATTTTACATTAAAATAATGCACAACCACACATAACTCATATGAGAAGTCATTTTTCCCAAAGTGACCAGGTCTTTAGGTCACCATGTTCTTCAAATCTTTTGTCAGCTGAGAATCTGTGAAACATTACAGGCCGTCATGTGCAATAAACTTCAATAAATTCACAATAACGATTAACTGCGGTCTTTGAATTTCGAGCACTTATTGCATCAGTTCCATGGCACGTTAAAGCTTGTATCACCTAAATGATTGCGACGTTATTTACTGAAATCCTGGTATATTCAATCATTAAGCAGATGTACCTATTAGGGGCTAATGGATAACACCCCTGAATAATACTAGTTCACTTCCTGACGATCTAGGTTTCCTGATCTAGGTTTCCTCCCTGACGACAGAATGGAATGACATAGATTTTTGTGTTATTAACGTTTCACGTTACGCGAATACTAGCCAGTTTTACCCTAGAACATCTTCCTTAACGGCTTCCGAAGTTAGAGAGCCGTCGAATGTTTTGCCGCAAATAAGTAATCCGAGCACTGGCTGTTTGATATTATCTGAAATTAAAATGTGTTTTTCAAAATGTACTTTTCTGTCTCTGGTTGTTATGTTTTCTCTCATCTGAAGCATTTTTTGTCGCCTTCTACTACAAGGAGCAGTTTTCAATCTCAGGCCCATCAGCAGCCGAACGGTAAAGTCGCTGAACTCTGGTTGCTCGATTCCAGGCGAATGAGCTGGCTGCATGTGTAAACGAGGATACGAACCAGTTTCTCTTAGAAAATCCTCCAAGAATGCAACCATCCCCTGAGGCAGACGGTCCTCGCGTGCTTTGCCATAATCAAATGAACCAGACTTATCAATCCTCAGAAGTATGCCAGTCCTAAAGCTTTATAAAGTTTGATATTACATAAGTTTGATTTTTCTTCAGTATTAATACAATTTTATGTAGTCATTTTGTAGTCTTTATTAACATTTATATTCACAGTTTTTATCTTGTTTCGATCTTTATTTCATCGTTCTTACTTTAACAAATATTTATCGCGGGATGGGAGGCTCAATAAAACTAAAACTATATAAAATACTTTATACTATAAATGACATTAAAAGTGGCAGGAACATGTAAAAACTAATTGGCACTGGACTTCAACAGATTTGACGATTTCGCTTGTTTAGTTACTTTACATACATGTTTTTGAAATGTCTTAATAAAGGTTTTTTTTAAAGTTCTACTAAAATGAATAAGATTTACGCCAACTGAATCTTTAATTTGGGCCTCGGAAATAAGAGCAAGAATTAGAGTCCTCCTGCATGTTCATTATAAGATTAAAAGTCTTATGATCAATCCTTGATACTTCTGTTAACTTTAACTTCAAGTATTCTTATCTTATTCATCATTGTCACGAAGAGCTTTCTATGTTGCTCATTTAAAGTTTTTGTTTTAAATAAAACCTATATATCATCGCTTTTAAACGCCCTTTTCCTAGAGAAATTAATTTTAAAATACACTCATGTCCATAAATTAAGGATAATGCAAAATCAGGCAAAGGAAGAGTTAGAAGCAAAACAAATTTGACTTATTGGTAAAGCTTATTTATTAAACAAAAGTTAAAGATCAAAAAAAGATGCTATATGTTTGATATTATTAAAAAAATAGCGATTTTTTCTCCCTGGAGCAAATTACAAAAAAAAAACCTATTTACAAAAAACCAATATTACATGGTTGGTATGATTGTTAATACATTGTATGTCTCCCAGACGATGCAATACAGTCCGTACAACGCCTAGGCATGCTGAGTATCAAATTATCGATCTGATCTTGGGGGATATTACACCACTCAAAAAGCAATGCTCTCTGAAGTTCCGGTAGACATGTAGGAGGAGGTTAACGGGCTGCAACTCGTCGGCCAAGCATGTACCACACGTGCTCTACTGGATTCAAGTCCGGTGAGAATGCTGGCCAGTCCATACGGGTGATATCCTCCGATTGAAGGTATTCGCTTACGATGCTTGCACGGTGAGGACGGGCGTTGTCATCCATAAACACAAATTGTGCGCCCATGGCGCTCCGAAACAAACGTACATGTTGTTCCAGAATGACGTCCCGATAGATTTGGCTTGTCATGGTTCCAATTTGAGCATGCAGGTCAGTTCTGGAACCCAGAATAATTCCACCCCAAACGATCACTCCTGCACCACCGTAACGGTGTCGTTCAATGATGTTTTCTTGGTGGTAACGGGTACCTGGAGCTCTCCATATGAAATTCCGGCGAGAATCAGACTGCAAGCTAAACCTGGACTCGTCTGAAAACATCACACAAGCCCACTGTTGCGGTGTCCACAATGCGTGCTGTCTACTCCAGGCTAACCGCAGGCGACAGTGAGTTGCAGTAAGTGGAACGCATCTGACAGGTCTACGAGCATATAGACCAATCTGCCCTAAGGTACTGTACACGGTCTGCCTTGAAATTGTCGTACCAGTGGCTAAAGAGAGTTGAAGAGACAGGTCTGAGGCTGTGCTCCGCCTGTTTCTTTTCGCAGTAATTACCAAATACCGGTCCTTATTCACGTTGTAACTCTGGGGCGACCTGTGCTGTAACGTCTACTCACATTACCATCATCTTGGAATCGTTGCCAAAGCCTGGAGATGACACTCTGGGCAATTCCAAGTTCGTCTGATACTTCCAGTTGGGTACGCCCACATTCCAGACGGCCGATAATTCTACCACGTAAAAAATCATCCAAATGCGTCCTTTGTGTCATAACTATTCGGTTATTGCACTGAAATGCTTATAAAGCGCCTGCGAACAATTTTACTTCTTTGCCTGTATTCCTTATACATCACTCTCTTACACTCTCGTCATTGTGACGTACCATCGGTGTCATCTGGTTACTTCCTGAAATTTGCATATGATTCTTGAAGATGTGTGTAGTGATTTTACAGGTGATATATTTATTTTAGAGTTCGATTTCCGCGTGACTCCGAATTATCCTTAATTTATGGACATGAGTGTAAATTATTAACCTCATGTTCTCACGAATGGATAAATAAGTTTACTCATTAAAATTTACTCATGTTTTAATTATACAAAAACATAACATTTGCTGTCCTCGGGTTGAGCAGAAAAATTATAAAACACATTTTGTTGATTGATTCCGTTAATTAAAGCTTCCTCTTGTCTAGAATATTTGATCCATAATAAAATACAAAAAATATAATGATAGGAAGTTTAATCTAACAGGTATTCCTAGTGCTAAACATTATAAGCAATGGCTATGTAAAAATACATTTAAAGCAATGATTATGCGAGAGTAAACTCTGTAGAAAATCTATGACTTTACATAATAGTAAATAAAAGTAAATGTTTTAGGAACTTAATGGATTTTTTGACAGGAAGTGTAAGTTATTTCTTGACCATATGACAGAATTCATTGAAGCTTACCCTCACGCTACGGAGGAATTCTTCATAACTTATTGCTCCTGAATTATCCCTGTCAAATCGTTGGAATAACTCTTCTATTTCATATTCATCCAGATGTCTATACATTCCCGAATCATGAAGGCCTTTCTTAAATTCTTCGTAGCTTAACTCGCCGTTGCCATTATCATCCATCCTTCGGAAAACTCTGTAATATAATTCAAAATCATTACGTATAATTATTATAAAATCTGTATTTCAAATAATGGGCAATGTCTATAAGAATAAATTTGAACGATATTTACTACGGTTAAAATGATTGTTTAAATCTTATATGCTACGGAACACTTTGCCAGTAACAGATACAAAGTAAATAACTGATTTTTCATAAAAATTGCATTTCATTTATTATTGAAGATGCCAACTGATACCATTCCATAGTATAAAATTCTTTTTTGCTTTATAAGGTATTTCTCCCACTTTCCAAGCGTGCCTTCGTGGTGTAGTGGTCAGCACGCTGAGCCGGTATTTCAGAGGTCCGTGGTTCGATTCTCGGCGAAGGCGTTGCTAATTTTTCATCTCTCCGGCCTCCAAAAAAATCATAATGTCAAGGTAAAACTTGTCCTACAAGGTGAAACTTGGGTTTCAGTGGCAAAATACAGTTCATGTGATTTTCTCCCTCCTTTCCAGCATGCCTTTGTAGTTAGCACACTCGGCTTATATTCGAGAGGTCTAGGTTCGAGTCTTGGCGACGGCACTGCACATTTTTCATGTCTCCCGCATCAAAAAAATCTTAATGATTCTATAGTGGCACTCAAACTAAAAAAAAGAGAGAAAGGCGGTGGATGATCATTCTTCTTCATCATAATTTTGGCGATTTAGGCCCCTAATCCCCAGTCGCCCTTTAAAAGGGGAAGTCTATAAGGTAATAAAAAAATGTATGTTTAAAAATTTCTCTCTCCTTTCTGCATGCCTGCGTGGTGTAACGGTAGCACACTCGGAGCGTATTCCAGAAATCTAGCTTCGAGTCCCGGCGAAGGCATTGCTCATTTTTTGTGTTTCCTACTTCAAAAATTATAATGACTCTACAACTTCACAAAATATTATCATAATCTGCAATTATATTTATGATTTAATGTGGTAAATCTGGCTGAAAACTGTGATAGTATTTTTAATAATAATATAGATTTAGATTCGCATTCCATATCTTTTCTACATACATGAATATCATGAGATACTTCCAGTGACTAAATTAGTTTATATAAGCTGAAAGGGAAAAGTCCACTTGTTCAGTTTTCTGAGGAAAAGGATAAAATTAGAAGAAGTTTCGAGGAAAAAGACTATATAAAGTACAAATACATGAAGACCATTTCTTCTCTTTTGAAATATTACAGTACTCATACAAAACGGATCATTGAACTGCATAATGATGTAAGAAAGGAAATTAATTCCTCAAACACGTTGTTCCAAACGAAAGCATCTATTTTAAATTATGCATTGTGAAATAATCAATTCCTTTTTTCTTCATAGGTTCACAGCTTGCAAGCAGAAAGCATTATCTAAAGTGCTGTATAAAATACGATGCGTCATACCACCCGTTTTAACGATAATTATGGAGACCACACCCATGTTTCTGCTTTCAGCAGACGTTACTTTGACCGCGCTTAGCAAAAACGCTTCTCTTAATCCCCTGATTTTGTTTCAAAGGGAAAATATATTCCTGCTTGTATTAAATAAATAGTTCCTTTATAAAAAATTAGTTCTGTAATTATCTCCCTGTAGTTTAGACATTCAATATCATGGTCTGTTTTTATTCAAACTTCGTCAATTTTTCTTAATTTCGCATACTGACGAAAGACGCAGATACTCCAGAATTAAATTTCTGTGACTTTACATACTTAACCTACAAAGTACAAAACACTGAAAAACTTTTTCTAATTTGTCCATTTTATTTGAAGCAGAAAAAATTTCATGAAATAATAGAAACATGAGAAGAAGTACCAAACTTCTTAAAAAATTTGCATATGTCAAACCGGTTTCACATAAAAGAATTTCTTATATTCTTGTGTATGTATAATATCAGAGATCGATATAATAATAAGTTTACAAACTTGTAACTGCATTAAAGGATGAGGATAGAAACAAAAAAAGCATCTTTATTCATAATGCAGTGCTCTAATCCCAGTGTTCAACGTATTATACAAATAAGAAGTAATTTAAGCATATTAGTATTCTTCTTGCAATAAGCTAAATAAAACCAAAAATAAATTAGAAAATTCCTCAATAAAAAAGATAAAATGAGATTCACAGAGATAAAATTAATTCTGTGAACATTTGATAATACACAGCTGGCCATTAAAATTGCAACACCATGAAGGAAAGCAAATACAAAAAAGATATTTAAAATACGTAAACAGTATGGCATGAAGACAAAATGATTAAATTTGTAACTAGTTTGGGGATTTAGAGGAGTGCGAAATTAGTAGAAACGACTGCCACTCTGGCAGTTAAAACGGCCTTTACCTGGTTAGGCTTGGATGACAGAAAGGGGCAACTCATTCAATGCTGCTTCAAGTCTATGCCACACTTCATCAAGCGTATTAGCTGGAGAGGAGGTGCCGGGCCAGTCTCTCAGCAGCCAATGAACATATGTTTTCAGTGGGTGATAGATCTGGAGACCGCGCAGACCAGGGCAGCAATTGAGTATCCTGTCTATCGAGATAGGTCAGAAGAAGACTCGCAACATGTGGTCTTGCATTATCTTGTTGGAAGATGGCGTTTGGCTGGCCTCGAAGTCAGAGCGCAACCACTGGACCTAAGATGACAGAAATGTACCGATTTGCGTTCAAACTACCGTGGATCCTGTCTAAAGATATGCATCTCAAGTACACAATGGCCGCCTAAATCATCACACCAGGTTCAAGAACCCTATATCTTTATCGAATGAAAAAAGGAGACGTATGGTATCCTCGGAGCCTCCAGACACGTATACGGCCATCAGAATACTGCACGCAAAACCGGGACGCGTCTGAAAAGACGATATTGTGCCACTTCTGTATCCAGCTTTGTCGTTCGGCGCACCAGAGTCGTCGTATCTCTCTTTGATGCATTGTCAAGAGAAGCCGAAGTAATGGTCGCCGTAGTGGTAATCCACGCTGCTGCAAACATCGATGCACCGTATTCCGAGAGGATACTGGGCGTGCTGCAAGCATGTCTCTTTCCTGACTAATGGTCTGTAATACGGTTCCTGACTAATGGTCTGTGACTTCATAATATGCCTGTAGTCTCGGGCGTTATTCATAGGAGGGCGTTGAGATCCTGCATGCCGTTCAGTATGACCCTCAGCAACCTACTGATTCCCTATTCGCATGACAGTGGTTGGATGTCGAACAGTGCGAAAGGCCATATCATGGAACGATAATCCACACTCTCTATAGGCAACGATCCTGCCTCTATCGATTTCCGACACTTGTTGGTAAGCATTTCTTCTTATTATTCGAGGCATAACACGATATTCTGAGCAAACTCCGACCTTACAAAGTGATTTCCGAATGAGAAATCCACTACGCAACTTTTCTTTTATGCAGAGCTTCAAATGTCGTTTCTCTCTCCTGCGTCGTCTAAATGCGCTGAAATACTAATTATTTGCATATCCCAACCTCTTCTTCCTTTCTTGTAATTTGACATTCCTCAACTCATTCCTTCCTGGTGTTGCATTTTGAATGACCAAACAGTGCAGAATTGCTTAGACTACTTCTCAATGACTGCACGTATGTGAAGGGCATTATTCTTTTATTAAAAAAATCTGTGCTTATCTAATTGTCACTAGAATATAAAACACGCTTTTTAATTAGTATGGCATGATTAAAACGTTTCGTATACTTTAGTAACCTCATTTCTTTGTAAACAACTTCCTTTCATCATAGCATAACAGTAGAAAAGTACATATATATATGTGTGTGTGTGTGTGTGTGTTTGTGTGTAAGAAAAATTAAGAATATGTAAAAGATTAAATTAGCAGCGTAAATTTATTTCCTTTCTCTATTTTAAAAATAGCAACATCTATTTGCACTGCTTCATTTCGAGAAAAAATCTGTCATATGACTCTTACGTAATTCTGGTAATGTAAACTGAACTAAAACTCAAGCAGCCAATAATAATTTTACAGCAATATTTACTATCCAATCAAAATGCTTTGAGAACAAAAACTAACACAATTATGCCTCGTAATAAACAGCGATCATCAAGTATCCGAGTTCGATAGAAGAAGGATAGTGGCCTACCGAGAGTGTGGATTATTTTTCAGGGAAATCGGTTGTCGTGTTGGGCGAAACCAAACAACTGTAATGCGGATATGTGACCGTTGGATGCAGGAGGGTACGACGGACCGACGTGTTCGATCTCATCCACCTCAGTGTACCACTTCACGTGATGACAGGAACATTGTGTGCATGGCAATGACGAATTGCTCAGTCACATCAAGAACCATAGCACAGCACATTCAGTCTGTAACGCATCATCCAGTGTCTGCGCGTACCATTCGACGCCGTTTACAGCAAAGTGGTCTGTCCGCAAGACGTCCATTGCTTGACGCAGAACCACAGACGTCTCTGCCGCCAATGGTGCGATGAAAGAAGGATGTGGACCGCAGAATGGAATGAAATTGTCTTTACCGACGAGTCACGCTTCTGTCTGCAACACCACGATGGTCGCATTCGAGTCTGGAGACACCATGGAGAGAGGATGCTGAACAGCTGCGTTATGCATCGCCACACTGGCCCTGCACCGGGTATTATGGTATGGGGCGGTATTGGATATCACTCTCGCACTCCTCTAGTACGCATTGCTGGTACTTTAAACAGCCAGCGCTATATCTCCGAAGTGTTGCAGCCAGTTGTCCTTCCTTACCTTCAGGGCTTGCCCACAGCCATATTTCAACAGGATAATGCACGCATTGTCCAAGGGTTCTTCGTCAATCGCCAGATTGAATTGCTTCCCTGGCCGGCTCGCTTTCCGGATCTTACGCCGATACAAAACATGTGGTCCATAGTTGCTGAACGATTGACCCAGATTACATCCCAAGCTGCCACATCAGATCAACTTTGGCAACGTGTGGAAGCTGCTTGGTCTGCTGTACCCCAAGAACACATCCAAAGTCTCTTTGAATCAATGCCGAGGCGTGTGGCAGCGGTGATCTAAAACAATGGC